AAACTGGCGCCCCCTCGGTTTACAGGCCAGCGCTTGATGCACTGAGCCACACCAGCCAGGACTGTTCTACTGAGTTTTCAAGAGAGAGGAAGGAAGAGAGGGGGAGAGAGAGAGACATCAATGTGAGAAAGAAACATCAATCAGTCGCCTCCCCTACATACTCTGACTGGAAATAGAACCTGCAACCTCCTGGTATATGGGACCACGCTCCACCCAACTAAGCCACCCAGTCAGGGAGACTAACAATTTATAACTTGTTTGTTTCCACTTAACAATAGATCATCAGGATAAGTCTGTCCACAGGTTATTCAGTATTCTTAAAACATTTAGTAAACTGTGGGTTTCCATGGCTGTGTGCTAGCCCAACGCACGGACACATCATAATTTATTTAACCAGCGCCCCTGTTGCTAGACTTTTAGGTTGTTTCCTGCTTTTCAAGTTTATAAGCCACGCTTCAAGTGCATCTTTGGCCATGAATCTTTGTGCATGGCTAAAACTATCTACTTAGAATATAATAAGTGCAATTTTAGTCACACGCATTAACTTCTGGACAGCTTTTACGAACATTTCCAGATAAGTCATCTGTTTTCTTCTCCTGCCCCCAGGACACCGTACTCCTCTGGTTCTCGTTAACCTCTCCGGCTTTGCCACTCTGCCCCCTTGGCTGGTTTCTTTCCGCCCCCTGACCTCTAACCAGTGGACAGCCCTGGGACTCAGTCCATGCGTGTCTTTTCTTTTATCTACACTTATTCCCTTGGTAAATTAATTCACTCTCATTGATTTAAATACTGTTCATATGCTGATGACCCCTTCATTTATATCTTAGGTCCAAGCCTGTCCCCTGAACTCCAGGCTTGTATATTCAAATTGCCTGGACAGCACCTCTACCTGGATATTCGATGGGAATATCAAAATCAGTATGACCCAAACTGAATGCTGACCTTGCCTCCCAAACCTGCTTTCCCCACAGTCTTCCCCATCTCGGTGAACGACAACTCCTTCCTCCAAGTTTCTCAGACCAAAACCCCTGGTAGTCAGCCTGACACCTGTATTTTTCTTGTACGCTTTGTCCAGTACATGAGCAAATGCTATCGACTCTAACTTCACAATAGCTCCACAGTGCAACCACTTCTCACCAGCTCTGCCATCACCACCTGGTCTCAACAACAGTTGGGTCACTGAAATGGCTTCCTGACTGTAACATTCTCTGTCCCTCTTCTCCCTGGCCCCCATATTCTTAGTCTATTCTCAGCAGTGGCCAGAGTGATCCTGTTAAAACATGAGCTAGATAATATTGCTTCTCTACTCAGAACCCTCCAGGGACTTCCATCTTCCTCAGTAAAAGCCGATATCCTTATAGCGGTCTGCCAAACCTTAACCAACTTCCTCCCATTGCCCCTCTGACCTCCGCTCCTCACTCTCTGCTCATCTAATCTATTCCAGCAACTGGAGCCTCCTTGATGTTTCTCAAACATTCCAGGCAAGCGTCTACCTTCAGTCATTGTACCACATGTCCCTCTGCTTGGAGGGGACCTTGCCCAGACGTCAGATGACAGGCTCTCTCGCCTCCTCAGGTCACAAATGTCTTTCCAATGACACCTTCTCTGATTCCCGCAACCCATATAAAATGAAAACCCCTAGCCACCCCGACACTCCCTTTTTCTCCTTTACTTTTCTCCAGCACTCGTAATATTATCTATTGAATATATAAATATAAAATTCATTTATTTTGTTTATTTCCCATTTGAGGGTGGGAAGCTTTGTTCATTTGTTTGATTCACTGACGTATCCCTTAAGAGTACTGGGAACAACAGGCACCGGATAAGTACTTTTTCTAAGTATATTTTATTGATTATGCTATTACAGCTGTCCCATTTTCTTCTCCCCTTTATTCCCCTCTGCCCTGCACCTGCCTTCCCTCCAGCACCCATCCCCCCACCTTAGTTCATGTCCATGGGTCATACATATAAGTTCTTTGGCTTCTACATTTTCTATACTATTCTTAGCATACTCCTATCTATTTTGTACCTAATATCTATGTTTCTTATTCCCTGTTCCTTTTCCCCCATTCTCCCTCTCCCCTCTCCCCACTTTATTTCTATGACTCTGTTTCTATTCTAGTTGTTTGCTTAGTTTGTTTTTGTTTTTGTTTTTAGGTTCGGTTGTTGATAGTTGTGAGTTTATTATCATTTTATGGTTCATAGTTTTGATCTTCTTTTTCTTAGATAAGTTCCTCATTTAAGAGCTTGGTGATGATGAACTCCTTTAACTTGACCTTATCTGCAAAGCACTTTATCCACCCTTCCATTCTAAATGATAGCTTTGCTGGATAGAGCAATCTTGGATGTAGGCCATTGCCTTTCATGACTTTAAATACTTCTTTCTAGCCCCTTCTTGCCTGTAAGGTTTCTTTTGAGGAATCAGCTGATAGTCTTATGTGCACTCCTTTATAGGTAACTCTCTCCTTTCCTCTTACTGCTTTTAAGATTTTCTCCTTATCTTTCATCTTGGGTAATGTAATTATGATGTGCCTTGGTGTGTGCTTCCTTGGGTCCAACTTCTTTGGGACTCTCTGAGCTTCCTGGACCTCTATTTCCTTCACCAGATTGGGGAATTTTCCCTTCATTATTTTTTTTCAAATAAGTTTTCAATTTCTTGCTCTTCCTCTTCTCCTTCTGGCATCCCTATGATTCAGATGTTGGAACATTTAAAGTTGTCCCAGAGATTCCTAAGCCTCTCCTCATTTTTTTGAATTCTTGTTTCTTCATTGTGTTCTGGTTGAATGTTTCTTTCTTCCTTGTGCTCCAAATCATTGATTTGAGTCCCAGTTCCCTTCCCTTCACTATTGGTTCCCTGGATATATTTCCTTATTTCACTTTTGCACAGCCTTCATTTTGCAACCATACTCAATCATTTCTGTGTGCATTCTGATTACCAGTGTTTTGTATTTTGGGTTTTTTTGCTTTTTAAAATGTATTTTATTGATTATGCCATTACAGTTGTCCCATTTTGCCCCCTTCATTTTCCTCCACCCTTCACACCCCTCCCCCCACATCCCCCCTTTAGTTTATGACCACGTGACTCAAGTTCTTTAGATTCTATATTTCCCATACTATTCTTGCCCTCTCCCTATCTATTTTCTACCTACCATCTATGCTACTTATTTTCTGTACCTTCTCCCCCTTCTCCTTTTCCTACTCCCCTGTTGCTAACCCTCTATGTGATCTTCATTTCTATGGTTCTGTTCCTGATCTAGCTGTCCTCTTAGTTTGCTTTTGTTTTAGATGTGGTTCTTAATAACTGTGAGTTTCCTGTCTTTTCACTGTTCATCTTTTTTATCTTCTTTTTCTTAGGTAAGTCCCTTTAACATTTCATATAATAAGGGCTTGGTGATGATGAACTTCTTGAATTTGATCTTATCTGAGAAGCACTTTATCTGCCCTTCCATTCTAAATGAAAGCTTTGCTGGATAGAGCAATCTTGGATGTAGGTCTTTGGATTTCATGACTTGGAATACCTCGTTCCAGCCCCTTCTTGCCTGTAAGGTCTCTTTTGAGAAATCAGCTGACAGTCTGATGGGAACTCCTTTGTAGGTGACTGTCCCCTTAGCTCTTGCTGGTTCTAGAATTCTCTCCCTCATTTCAGTTTTGGCTAATGTAATTATGATGTGCCTTGGTATGTTCCTCTTTGGGTCCACCCTCTTTGGGACTCACTGAGCTTCCTGGACTTCCTGGAAGTTTATTTCCTTTGCCAGACTGGGGAGGTTCTCCTTTATTATTTGTTCAAGTAACTTTTCTACTTGTTGCCGTTTCTCTTCCCTTTCTGTATAGGTACCCCTATAATTTGGATGTTGGAACATTTAAAGATGTCCTGGAGGTTCCTAAGCCTCTCCTCATTTTTTTGAATTCTTGTTTCTCTATTCTTTTCTGTTTGGTTGTTTCTTTCTTCCTTCTGGTCCACTCCATTGATCTGAGTTCCAGTTTCCTTTCCATCACTATTGGTTTCCTGTGCATTTTGCTTCAATTCACTTAGTGGCATGAACATATTTACATGCCACATAGACAAGATATGAATTTGATGAAGCAGGTCATGCACCCAGGACTTTTTTCTGTGTTCTTAAGGTCTCTGGGGTTTTGATCTGTTCTTCTGTTCGAGCCATAATGTTGTGGTCTATTCATGCCTGTTATGTATGGGGGGCGGAGCCTTAGATGTTCAGCAGGGTGGGTCAACCCAGTTCTGGGTTGTGACACTGTATGTGGGGGCAGGGTCAGAGAGGGAATAATGGCACTTGCGCTCTCTCAGCGCAAGTATTCCTTTGTCTCAGTACATCTTACATTGTAAGGGGTGGAGCCTTAGGTATTGGCCAGAGCAGGGCAACTCATATCACTGTGTTGTGGCACTGTGTGTAGAAGAGGGGTCAGAGAGGGAACAATGTCACTTCCTCGGCTCTTGCCAGCTTTCAGTCACTTCTCCTGCTACCCACAAGCAAAATGGGCCCTTCTGGTGCTGATTCCCCAGGTGGGTGGGCTTGTGTATGTTCTAGGACTCTGTGGGTCTCTCCAACAAACTCTCCTGTGGGGCTGGGAGTTTCTCCTGCTGTGCAATCTCCATAGATTTTTACAGCCAGAGATTTTGAGGCTTTCTTTGCCTGTGCTGGAACCATGAGTTTCATGGTCTGTCTCACTGCCCAGCTGTTCTTCCCAGTTTATCCACACACAAATGTGGAACCACCAGCCACCATCTCGCTTGCCTGGTCCTCCAGCCCCACCTTGCCATGCATCCTCTCTGTCCTGGCTGCCTGTCTCTGTCCGTCCTACTGGTCTGGATAAATGAGTTTTCTTTAACTCCTTGGTTGTTGGACTTTCATACAGTTAGATTTGTTGTTGTCCTTCTTTCGTTTGTGTGAGGAGGCAAAATGCGTCTACCTATGCCTCCATCTTGACCAGAAGTTGGGTAAGTATTTGTTGAATGAGTAAATGAATTGGTATTTTTCTTTCAGTCTACAGCCCTGAGCCAGTGCACAAGGCTTCAATGTGGACTACATATGAAGCACACTACAGTTTACAATGTACATCTCATTTCACTTCAAAGACCCTGACAGGTAGGGATGGTGTAGGGGCAAAGAGCATTGCCTCACTGTTAACCCTGTGTTGCTGGAGTTTTTCTCATCTGCAGTAATAACCTTCTCATAGGATTATTATCAAAACTAAAAAAGATAATTCATGCAAATAATTTGCATAGTGCCTGGAATCAATTAATCACTAAATAACTACAAGCTCACTTCCATTTTTTAGTAAAAGATTCTGAGGCTCAGAAAGTTTAGACATTTGATGAGGTTACACTGTAAGGGAAAGAATGAGGTTTCAATCCAGAACTTTTGATTCACAACACTTTCTGCATTAAACCAAACTTATAAATAACTAACCTAATTAAGGGTTTGGATTCTCCCCCAAAGTCCTGAGGCCAGAGAGCTGGGGAGCCTCTTCATTTCTTCCTGTTGTTTGAATCCCCTTAATGACATTTTGGCCAAATCATCATTTAACCTCTGTTTGAACGTCTCCAGGTCTGGAGGACTGCCTCCAGGCTGCACCTTTCAGAGAGAGGTGTTCGGGCGCCCTTGCTATCTGCCACGCTCTGTGAGCGAGGTGGCAGACAGTGTTAGGTGTCTGCCTCCCCTACTTACACAAGTCCAGGTCTCTTCGGGGCAGTAGAAACTAGACTCTCACTACTAAGGTGGGCCTTGTGACATGGTTGTGGCCAAGCAGATGTAAGTCAGTATTGACTGGGGGTTTTTCTGGTTAGCACGGAGGATCTTCAGCAGGCAGCATGCTCTGCTCTTCCCTCTTCTCCCTTTTCCTGCCTGGAGTGTGGATGTAATGCCTGGAGGTCCGACAGCCACCATCTGAACATGAAGGGGAAAGCCACATGATCAGTCTGCAAGGAAGGAGAGCAGGGGAGCCTGGGTCACAGAGGGCAGTGTGGATGGCTAACATCAGTCTGAGGCTGCCGTGACCTCTGTGCTTCTCACTGTGTGAGGAAGATAGCCCTTGTCGGTTAAGCCTCTGAGGTCGGGTTCTGACACCTGCAGCCTAATGCAACCCTAACTGATACAATGACCCTAACTGAGCAATGACTACAATTCTATAGTACTTGCTATTACTCAGGCATGAGCAGCTTGGACCGCAGTCCCATTTTTCATGAGCACAAGCTTCAAGACTAAAATTTTGTAGTGTCCCTGGGAAGCAACATGGGTTGATGCTCCTGTGATGGGTGAACATGAGCTGCACCAACCCCAGCTGCACATTCCCAAAGGGTCCTGACAAGGTGAGCCCTCCTCTGGTGCACTCATCACAAGGTGTCCTGAAGAGGAATGTCCTGCCCTGTGGCACAAAATTTGAAAAAAATGTGCCTCCCTTTAGGCCTAGCAATTCGGTTTCTAGGACTTTGTTCTAGAATACTAGTCAAAGAGATGAACTGCTATTTCTACGTGAGAATATTCATGCACCATAGCACTATGGTTACCATTGGAAACTAATTAAACACCCAACAGTGGAGGAATGGCTAAGTCAATCACAGCACATCCACATTATACAATATGATATATGCCTAGTGGATGGCTGTTGGTTACGGTGGAAAGTTATTGCTGGAAATGATAAATTGTGAGTATGCTCAATGTAGTTCCAATTTTGTCAAAAACACATGTATATGACCCCCATCTCCCTGCCTCCAGCTCTCTCAGGGGGCGCCCCAGAAGGAGCCACCTTACTCATCTCATCTGCTGCTGCCTCCCCCACTGGAACTCGTGGCCTGAAGGGTGGGACCCATGCGTGTGCTCTCTGGAGCCCCGGGGCCTCTGCCACAGCACAGAGCAGGCAGACACTAAACATTCCTGAAATAAATGAATGAGGAATTGGCCACCCGAGAGTCAAGGACTCACATTGCTCCCGGGAGAGTCTGGGGGCCTCCAGCTCCTGTGCTTCCTACCCCTGCTGACCTCTCCCTCTGGTCTCTGCCAGGCCCTGCAACTGCATTCAGGTGTCTTCCGGGCCTGAGGGGGCATCCCCTTTCCTGACTGCTTGTCACCTTCATCCGGGGCCTCACTCCACAGTAGTAGAACGAGAAGCTCTGGGGTGCCCGGCTTTAAAGGCAGGGATCAGGCTGCAGCTTCTATGAACTTCCCTTGAGGTACAGCAAGGAGTCGGGCCCGGTTACCATCCTGGGGGTGGGTCTCAGCTGCTGCCGGCCACTGCCAGCTGTAGAGCTACCGTCCCCATACTGCTTTGCTGTAGACAGGTAGAGTGGCCCCTGAAGGCGGCCCCTGAGGAGCAGCCATTCCCTGCACGAGCACACTGGTTGTGAGAGTTAACACAAGGGGAGAAGTTGCAGGGGTCAGGCCCTGTTCTCAGGCTTGACCTGGATCCATTCACTTAGTCCTCACAGCCAGCTGTGAGCTGGCACCCTTCTGCATTTCAGAGAGGGGCCCACTCAGACACAGAGAGGCGGGCAAAATAGCCCCCCATGCAGGTCATACACTTGGCCGGAGACAGGTGGGGGCCCCATCCCAGGCAGCCAGAGGATGGGGCTGAGTCCCTTTGCCCCCTTGGGTGAGAGTTATATAGCCTAAATACTTTCTATGTGCTTGGGACCCTCCCACAAACCTGCCATTCTAGAAACTGGAAAAGAATAAAATATGGGTAAAAATACCCAAGGAATAAGAATATTGAAAACAACAGCTTCCTTTCCACACTGCCTTTTCCAGATCAATCTTGGGTGTATACTGTTTCCAAACCTGTCCCCTCTGACTCTGACCTTGTCCTCTCTGTCTCATCCTCCTGAAAACCTTCCCTTTGTCCCCAAAGAAGCTAAGCTCTCTTTAGCAGAATTACATTACAGCCTGGGACCCGCTTGCTTGGGCTGCCGGATGCAGGGCGGGCATTTTATGAGTGAGGTTGGGGCGATGGAGACAGATGGCAACCGGAGGGAGATTTGATTACCTGCTGCTTCCCAGAGCTGATCCGCCCCGTAACTGTGTTAGGGCCCATTATTGATAGGGTTCCTCCCGGCTGTAGCTTAAATTTGGTTTGTGATTTGTTATAGGCATTGGAGCTCGGAAATGTATCAGCCGGGACCCAGTTCGGAAATCGAGGGAGGCAGGAGAAGGGAGGTGGCCTGAGATGAGCACTGTGGGGACAAGTTGGGGGACAGGGCAGCCAGGGCCAAGTCAGTTCAGGGTAAGAGGAGTCAGGTGAGACAAAGGAGAGAAAATGGGGCTGGAAGGTGGGGTGTAGGGGCTTCAGTGCCAGGCTGAGTAGGCTGGTTTAGATGTGATCAGTCATAGGGGGCTTTCATAAGCTCTTGAGTAAGGAAGGGAACTGGCAGGTAAATATGGTTCTGGAGAAGAGGAACAAGGGAATTCGGCAGAAATCAGGCAAGACAAGGACAGTTGGCACCCTCGTCTGTCCCTTTGAAGAGTGTCTGGGATGGAACCAGGCAGGGGCCGGGACTCACTGGGTTCAGAAAGAGGCAAAGGGAAGTGGGCAGACACAACAGCCACTGTGCCAGACCCCCGCCTGTGTTAACTCTCACTCAGTCCCTGAAGCAACCCATAGGCGCCTGGTGTATCAAAGCGGAAGGGCAGTCTGATGAGGATGAGTCGCTGCTGGGCTTACACAACACAGTGGAGGTCCCCTGGGCCTATCTGATGCAATGACACAATCTCTTCATTGAACCACTTGTTCTTCCTGGGCTCAAGAGTCAGAAATCCCCATTCCTTCCTCTTACTCCTGGCACTTAGAACTCGAACCACAACGGCAAGAGTCACTGAATACCACCTATTGCACACATCCTTTCTCACTGCGGTCAGACTTGAGGATCCTCATTTGACAAGTGAGGAAGTGAAACTCAGAGAGGCTGATGGCGTGCTGAAGTCACACAGCAAGTGTGTGCGTAGGGCCTAACGAGGGTTTCAGTGCAAGGCTGCCAGGTTCCCCTCACCACACTGTGCCCCATCCTCAGACTCTGGCTCCTGTGTTCCCGGACCCCACTCACTCTAAGTCCGGGATTAGTGAGGAGGGGGAATTGGCAGAGCAGCTCAGAACAAGCTGTTCAGCACGGAAACTTTTCCTGAGCGTCCCCAGGCCTGCCTCCTCTTCATCTCATTTCTTTTAAATCCCAAGAACTCCATCTCTCCAGGCCTGAGGCCCAGAAGCCGGGGAGAGGGACAGTGAGCAGGGCTGGAGAGGGTCTGGGGCTCACAGGCCCATGGGCTGGGGGGACCAGGCTGCAGCCCTGGTCTTCCCATCCCTGGGTAAATTAGGAGAGGAAAGGGGGCCCCGGTGGGCAGGGAGCCTGTCCCTACAGGGAGCACAGAGTCTCGGAGGAGAACCAAGAATGACTGGGCTGAAGCCCAGCCTAATCCCTCTGCACACACTCCCTTCCCTAAGGATTTTCCCTTAGAAAAGTCTGTTTAATTTTCCCAGCTCAGAGACAATAAATGGAGGACTTGGGGTGGGGTGAGAATGGGTGATGGGGGAGGCCCATGGAGTGTGCCTTGGGAAAAGACAAGCAAATGGGAAGACAAGTTTCTGACATGTCCCTTCCCCCAAGCAGCAGCCAGGAATACTGGCCTTCTGACTGGAGAACCAGCAGGGCCCCTGGCTGGCCGTCTTGGCTAGTTTATTTTATTGTCTGCATGTTCTCGGAATAGGAGACCCTGAAGACAGACACTGCACGGGCCTGGCAGGAAATCTCATATCGGTGAGTGTAATTATTGTGGCGTGGTGGTCATAGTGGTGGAGGCCATGGTGGGCGAGTGCAATGACGGTGGCAGTGTGGTGACAGGGGTGGTCACCATCATGGAAACCTTGCAATCATGATGGGAATGGGGTTTTGTCACCGACACACCTGCGTCCCATCCTAGCCCCATCTCTCGCTAGTAGTCACTTGTGTGAGCCTTTCTGAATCTCATTTTCCTCATCTGAAAAGCGAGAATAATAAGAGCTCTTGGTGGGGTGCAGGGCTTCCTGGGGCAGACGCCGACCCCCTCGGTTCTGCTGCACCTTTGGGGCTCTTCGGTCCCTCCATCTGCCCTCGCTCCCCTGCGTTTGCCCACGAACTTCCTCTAGCCGTTCTCACTGGCTCTTTCCTTAATCACCGTTCAATTCCTTCCTTCAGAGCCCCACAGTCTAAAACAGATGTTTGTACACACTGCCTCTGCTTCCTGGCCTCCCACTCGCTCCTTAACCCCTTTTCAGTAGCCCTTGGGTTCCCAAAACTCCACGGAAACTGCTCTCAAAGTCAGCAGAGGCTTCCCCCCACATCTTGGCCTCAACCTCTTCAGAGAAATTGGCCCTATGATCCCCAAGGCTTCTAGAGAGTCTTTTCCTTTCCTCCTTCCTTCCTCCCTTCCTTCCTTCCTTCCTTCCTTCCTTCCTTCCTTCCTTCCTTCCTTCCTTCCTTCCTTCCTTCCTTCCTTTCTCTTCACCCAAGAACATTTCTAAATTGCTTTTAGAGAGAGAAGAAGGACGAGAGAGAGAGAGAGAGAGAGAGAGAGAGAGAGATCTGTTGCTTCCTGTATGCGCCCTGACTGGGGATCGAACGCACAACCTTTTGGTGGACAGGACAACACTCCGACCGACTGAACCAACACCAGCCAGGACGAGAGCCTCTTTCTAGGGCCTTTAAGACCTGCATGTTCCCCTCCCCACCACCTCTGCCTCCTTCTGCCCCCAAAGGTCAGGGCTCCGATGCACCCTCCTCTCTGTGCACTCTCCATCAGAGTATTTAGCTCCCTGGTTCCAAGTGCAGTCAGTCTGCACAGCAGCTCCCAAACCCATTTCTCCGGTTTATCAGGTCGCCCAGCTAGAACCCACTTCTGGCCGCTGACTGACTTCCCCTGCTGGACCCCCTCCGGCACGCTCGGCACTGGCCGTGTCTCCCAGACCTACGTGCGGTCTGCCCTCCCTGTCACCCCTGACTCCTCATCCCTTCATTCAGATTTCTACCCATTTACCAATCCTGTCAATTTCCCCAAGTCATGGTTCTTTGGAAATGAACACAGAATTTTATTTTATTTTATTTTCAAAACACAAAACCAGGTCATTATTTAACTTTGCTCCTTTTCAATTTATTATCCTGATTAACCCTCTTTGGTATGAAAGCCAGTAAAATGATATAAATCTTGGGTCTTTTAACCCAGAAAAAAAACTCAGTTATGACAATCCATAAATGTTCATCTGTGTTATGTAAACTGTTGGCTTTAAAAAGAAAGCACCTTTTTAACACTGGTGCAAATGTCCCAGAAACTTTGTACAGCTCATCGGCTTGCTTTCAGAAACGGCAGCGAGGTGATGTGGATTCAGCTTCCTGCTGCAGGCAACCAGAAAAGTTACATATTAAAACAAGTGAAAACAGAACAGGAAGCTATTTGAAGGTCTGTGTGCAAATAAGAGAAATAAGGTAGTGAAGAATTGTTGCGCTAGGGTGTGGAGAGGACTGGGAGTAGGGAGGTGAGCCTGGCTTTGCAAATGCTTTCCTCTGGGACAGGAGGAAGCAGCTGAGGCTGACATGTTGATTGGAAGAGATGGGTGAGAGACAAGGCCTATCAAGGGGAATGTCTGGTGAACCCTCTTGCTTTGCTGGGACACCAAAGAGCTGCGCTTGATAAACCAAAAGTAGACAGGTATCTCACAAGGGCTGCAGCCCAGCTTTGACTCATCTCAGTTCCCGAAATCGGATTAAGGTGATTCTGTGTTGCTAATACCATCAGGCTCTTGTAAATCCGCTCTGGAAGAAGTTGTCATCCTGGTGTTAGATATTTCTAGAAATAATTTTGCAACTATGATGTTCAGGGCATACACACACACACACACACACACACACACAACCTGGCAAAGAACAATGCCCTTTCAAAACCTCAGAACTATAAAACAAAACGCAGACACATGATGAGACAAGACAATATGAACAGATATATAACACCCTCTCTAGATGTTGCAGTTATGCATGCAGATCTAAAAAATTTTTAGATGCAATGCTTAGCATGACCAAGGAGATAAAAGACACGATTAAGAATTTTGGCAGAGAATTGAAACTATTTTTTTTCTAAATGAAAATTCTGAAGCTAAAAATTATAATATCTCATACTAAGAATTCAAAGGATAGGCCTAACAGTGTATTGCACAAGGTGAACAAAAAAAATTAGTTAATTTGAAGATGGAAAAGAATACCCAGAACAAAGCATGGAAGAGCAAAAGGATGAAAACTATAAAATATAAAATAGGAGACAGTGAAAAAGATTAAGAGAATGGGGCAAAAGCAATATATAAAGGGATAATGGCTGAAAACTTTCAAAAGCTGATGACAGCCATCAATTTATATGTTCAGTAAGCCCCAAGAATCTAAATCAGAATAAGTAAAAGGAATCTACATCTAGGTCTATCAGAATAAAACTATAGAGTACATCTTTCTATTAGAGTAAAACTAAAAGTTGAAAATCAAGGATGGGGAGAAAGTCTTAAAAATAAAGAAAAACAGGCCCTGGCTGGTGTAGCTCAGTGGATTGAGCACAGGCCTACGAACCAGACAATCGCGGTTCAATTCCCAGTCAGGGCACATGCCTGGGTTGCAGACCAGTTCCATGCAGGCCAATTCCAGCAGGGGATATACGAAAGGCAACCATACATTGATGTTTCTCTCCCTATCTCCTTCCCTTCCTCTCTAAAGATAAATAAATAAAACCTTTAAAAAAATAAAGAAAAACAGATTGCCTTTAAAGGGGGCAACAATTAGATATACGGATGATTTCTTAATGAAAACAATGGGAGCCAGAAGACATGTAATTCTTCAGAGGGTTGAAAGAAAATAATGGCAATTTATTTAATAGCTAGAAAAAAATAATTAAATAGTAAAGATGAAATAAACACATTTTCACACTGAGAAAAACTGAGGAAATTAATCACCAGCAGACCAGATTAATATAATATTTTTTCAGGCAGAAGGACATAATCCCAAAGGGAAGTTCAGAGATGCAGGAAGGAATGAAGACAATGAAATGGTAAACATGTAGATAAATATAAAATAATATTGGCTGTATAAAAATACTAATATGTGTTTCATAGAAGTTCATGTGCTCAGGTTCTTATCTATAATGGGGGAAGAGAGTAAAAGAATCAATTAGTACAGAATTTGCTAGGAATTCATGCTGTAGTCTCTGAGTAGCTACTAAAAAGTTGTAAAAGAATGAGAGTAATTTCCAAATTAATAGAGAAGGATAATTGAATAAGATAATTCTAAAAGGAGGCAAGGGAAAGAGAAAAACAGAAACACAGAGTAGGTAATACATATAGAAGGCACGATGCTAAATATAAACCCAAATATAAAAATAATTTTATTGTATGTAAAATGACTACATTTTCTCATTAATAGGCACAGGTTTTCAGCTTTTCAGACTTGTTGGTTAAGAACCAAAATTCAACTATACACTGTTTACACAGATGTACCTGAAATATAGAGATAGAGAAAAATGAAGATAAAGGATGACAAAAGATATAAGCTAGTGTAGCTACATTAAAATAAAACTAGATTTTAAAGCATTACCAAGTGTGAAGACAGTTACTTCATAATGATATAAAATTAACTTCACTAGGAAGATACAATAATTCTACATGCGTATGCTCCTGATAACTTGGCATAAAATATATAAAGCAAAATTGACAAAACCACATTATTGTACCTCAGAGTCCTTCTCTGCCTTCCTGGGGTCAAGAGCCTAGGCATTTCACTGCCAAGACCTCTCTCAGAAATATCTTATCTGGTTCACGTATGGTGTCATTTTCTGATAGGAAGTCAGCTGGGCTAACTTACTCCGCTTGTATGTAAAGAATGCGTGTTGTGAATACTATCGACGCCTTCCCCATTTTACAGGTACTCACTGTTTTCCTACAAGGCTATGTGGTAGCTTCCAGCTGTGAGCTCCCGAGTCTATATATCAAGCCTTTGTCTGGTTGCAGCGCTGGCTCCCGCGTGGGGGGCGTTCCAAAAGCGCCAGAGAGTTAATACTCCCAGGAGTCAATTCATAGACACCCCTACTCTATTGCTTCTCAAGGATTAACTCAGAGGTATTTGTTCTCTATGTCTCCCAGAAATCTCCAGCAAGATTGATCTCCAGTTGCCCTCAGGGGTAACTGGCTTCATATAATATACTAAAAAAGAAAAAAAACCCTCACCCAAGGATATATTTATTGATTTTAGAAAGAGAGGGAGAGAAACATTCGTGTGAGAAAGAAACATCGGTTGGTTGACCCATATGTGCCCTGACAGAAGATCAAACCCACAACCTAGGTATGTGCCCTGACTGGGAATTGAACCTGCAGTCTTTTGGTGTATGAGATGACACTCCAACCAGCTGAGCCATCCAGCCAAGGCTAATAAACTTTTTGGGCTATCTTCCTTTTCCTGCATGATTTTCCCACCCCCCTACTATTATTCCTTGAGATTATCTTCCAAATAAATTATATTCAAATCCTTTTCTTAGAGTCTACTTCCAGGGGAACTCAAACAAGAAAATACCCTTTGTTTTAATGTTAAGAACATCACCAAGCCCCACAATGTGGCCTGGTTCTGAAGTGGTCTCCTTTCCCTCATCCCATCCCCTTGACCCTGACACCATCCATGACCTCATGTGTGTTTCACCTGGACTCTTCTGATCATGGTTTCCTGCCCCCATAATTTCCTCCCATTGCTTCTCCACAGGCAGCTGCAGTAACCTTCCTACTAAGCACACCTTCTACTCTGATATTGTCAGTGGCTTCTAATTTACCACTATTAAACATAAAATGTCAATACTTAGCTTGACATGCAAAGTCCTCTGTGATCTAGCGTCAACTCACCTTTCAGTCACTACCCCTTCTCCTGTGCTAGCTCATCCTTCAGCTACCTTCACCCTGGGTACCAGTCTTCATTATGACTGCCCATTATGTTTCCCTCAACCACCTCCAGAAGTCCTAAGTCTATGAGCCTTCCTTCAAGGCTCAGCTCAAATGAAACCTCTACGAAGCCTTCCTGATGTCTCCCATTAGTCTTTGACTCTCCCCAAGTGTCACAAACCTGGTAACTGCTAGTGAATTTTGAGAACAGATGACATTTAAGTCCTCAAAATGAGAACTCCTGGGTCCCCCTCACTGGATTGCCTATAAGACAAATTTCTGAGTAACCTTGGGCCAGTTCCTTTTTCTCCCAGGGTCTTAGCTACTACAACTTCCCAGTAAACACTGTTGACCAGAATCAGTGTTTCTCCAAGGAAGGAAGGAAGGAATGCAGTTCTTCATTGTGCAGACTGCCGTATGCATTGTGGGACATTCAGCCCCAGCACCCAGAGCCAGAGCACCTCTAATCATTGTTACAATGAAAGAGGCTGTAACACATTTTCAAACACCCTAGGAACTTCTGCCTCAGACTGGGTGATTCCATAGGATCTTACAGCTTAGAGACTTTGAATTCTCTCGTTGGTACATATGGACCCTGGTGGCCCAGAACCATGCACAGGCCTGGCCGGTGGGTCGGTGATGGGGAAAAAGCTGGAACCAAACTGGAAGCAATGCCTAGTCTATGTCCTGGCACATGAGGACAGGATTAATGCCCAGTGTCCCAGCTTTCAAAGGGGCACACAATCCCAGCTGCCTCTGGCTGGCCTCCCGGTCTGAGGATTTCTAGTCTGCCTGATGTGCAGGAGTCCAGATGGCAGGTGATGTTCTTGGTGAGGAGTGGGCCACCCACAGTAGGACTCAATGGCTGGGGGCCACCTGGGTTGGCAGGGCCAGGGCTGGGGCTTGGTCAGCATCGTGGACTATCAATGGAGCTAGAACGACAAGTTTCGAAAAGTGAGTTTTCTTATTCAGGCCATCATAGGAGGTCGGGTGGGGTGAGTGGGGGCAGTGTGGCTTGGGGAGCAGGAGCCGGCTCGAGACTGAGTGCCAGGCATGTGGGCAGCGGATACTGGCAGCAGAATGGTTGTGACAGCTCTGTTGCTGGGGAAGGCAGCCAACACACCTGGCTGTAGACTGGATGGTAGGGTGGGGTGGGTGGTGTTAGAGATGAGAAAGGTGGCTGTTATTAACAGAGAAAAGATGGCAAAGGTGGGTGAGACAACTGTGAACAGCCCCTAATGGGAGGTGGTTTGTGGCTGGAGGCCCTATGGA